AACAATACACACGTACTGGGTTCCAAATGTTGCATGCGGCTCCTTCAAGTAATCCTAGCCAAATTTCATAGCTTGCAATGTAATGCAATCGTGCTCAGCCTGTTGGATTCCAAATAATGCATGCGGCTCCTTTAAGCAGTCCTTGCCTCTTTGTGAGTTATTGCCTTTCTTTCCTGGGAGATGCTTGATGCTTCAGACTCCATGCGTTAGTATCAGGATTCTTATATCTTGGACTTTTCCCTTTTGTTCAACACCAAGGAGCAATCCCTCTCCCCTTGCTCAGAGAAAAAAACAGGGGTCATTTCCTGCAGGAGCGCACAGGAGCAGAGCTCCGGCAGTAAAGAGCCCAGGGGGCGGGCACATGCAACAAGCCCCACCCCCTGCTCCCAGCAGCCCTCAGTCAGAGCAAGAAGCAGCCAGGTAAGCTGCAGAGCCCTCCCCCCAGCCCCCCGGTCCAAGACAGTCCAGTAGCACCTTTAAGACCAAGTTTTGTTCAGGCACAAGCTCTCCCTCCTCTGCCAGGACAGATCTGCACGTCCCGTCCCCCCCCAATAGCTAGCAATCCAAAACAGTCCAGTGGAGCCTGAACGGTGGGTGTTGCCTTCTGACACTTCCAGTGACGTCAGGGGGGTGGTGGCATATGCAAATAAGTTATGCTAATGAGTTATGCTAATAAGCTCCTGCACCTCTTTTTCTACGAAATGACCCCTGGAAAAACAAGCACTGCGAGCTCCTCTCATTGGTTGCCTTCGTGCTTGCGGATACATGAGATCATGAAGAGGGGCTACATGCTTTAAAGTTCTCAGAAAGGAACGGAGATCAAGAGCTCTAGGGTCACCATTCCTGATCCATCAGTCCTTTGAACAGTCTAAGGTGCTCTACAACGTCTAGATTAGAGTCCAGTAGCACTTTAGAAACCAATGAGATTTGCGAGAATAAAAGCTGTCAAGCGTCAAAACTCCCGTCATCAAAGCTTTGTCCGAACTTTCACTCTTGAAAGTTTATACCCCGAAAATCTCGTTGGTTTCTAAGGTGCTGCTGGACTCGAACCTAGATGTTCTACCGTAGGCCAACCTGGCTACCCTCTGAAATGATACTTTTCGGAGAGATTTAATAAAAAAGTGAAGGCCAGAATACTGCTTTAAAGCAACAGACCTCCGAGTTTTAAAGCCTGTGCACTTGCACGCAATTCATGAATATAATTAGATTATTATTATACATACATGTTTCTAGTACAGGAGTGAACATCAGAGAAGCCATGTTGGATCAGGCCAGTGATGTGATTATTCAGTTGGAATGGTTTCACCAATTATTAAAAGACTTTTGCATAAAGTGTGATTTACCTATCAAGGTTTTTTGTGACAGCTTGGCAGCTGCTCAGTTGGCTAAAAATCAAGGGGTAAAAACCAGAAGTAAACACATCACAATCAGGTATCAGAATGTAAGGGTTGCTGTGTGTACAAATTTTATTAACATTCAGTACTGTAATTCTGAGGATAACCTGGCTGATTTATTTACAAAGTGTGTACCTGTAAATAGATTTAAAGTGTTAAAAAGTAAACTATCATTTGTATAGGCTGTATCTTGGGAGGCGTGTTGGCATATTGTATTATATGTATGCAAGATGACAGCCAATGATGCACACATGTCAGATTAAACTGATCTGGGTGACAGGTAAGACTGTCATGTGACAGGGTCACCAGATGCAAGTTGCACTAGGTTGCATCAGCTAATTAACTATGTCACCATGAGTTGGCAAAATGACTCTGATTGGTGCAAGTACTGTATATATGTAATGTAGTCCAGAGGCAAGTGTTCCACACCAGTGGAAGAGTGTATTGCGAAGCACCTTGTCGGTCAGTTCTATGAACCTGGGATACCGCATGGTGGAAAGAACTGTGTAAAGAACTGTAAATAAAAGCCACTGTATATAGCTCAGATACAGCATCCTGATATCATTATTATTCAGACGTTCTGCGCATGCCGTCACACTGCCCCATCTATATCTTGTGGCTAATAGCCACTGAGGGACCTCTGCTCCATATGTTTATCCAATCCCCTCTTGGTGCTGTCTATGCTTGTAGCCGCCACCACTTCCTGTGGCAGCGAGTTCCACATGTTCATCACTCCTTGGGTGAAGAAGGACTTCCTTCAATCTGTTCTAAGCTTACTGCTCATTAATTTCATCAAGGGCCCGCACATTCTTGTATTGTAAGAAAAGTACTTCTTTCTCCCTTCTCTGTCCCATGCATGATTTTGTAAACCTCTGTCACGTCACCCCCAATCGCCCACTGGTTACAGCGGACGTTCCGTCCCCGGTTGTGGGATGCTGCATGGAGTGAAACGGTTGCATTGCTGACGGTTATGTATCCGGCTGGCCTCTCTTGGAGCGGAACCAGATCCGAGCCCCGTCAGTAACTGAACGGCACGGGAACGCCAGTCCCAGTGCTCCGCACCCCCTCACCTGCGCATCCCTCCGACTCCGAGAGCTTCTCTTCTTCACTTCCAGCCAAGAGGTGTTGGGTAGACTCCGAACAGACCAGGCACCTGGAAAGAGGGGGGAAGGTAGTTAGGATAATCTCCCTATCCACGTTCCTGGCCGTCATGTCTTTTTAAAAAAAAAACAACCCAAAATTTACTTGATCAAGAAGAAGAAGAAGAGATTGGATTTATTCCCCGCCCTTCACTATCCAAGGGAGTCTCAGAGCGGCTCACAAACTCCTTTCCCTTCCCCTCCCCACAACAGACACCCCTGTGCGTTAGGTGGGGCTGAGAGAGCTCTGACAGAAACTGCTCTTTTTCAAGAACAGCTCTGACAAAACGATGGCTTGCCCAAGGTCATTCAGCCAGGTGCAAGTGGAGGAGTGGGGAATCAAACCCGGTTCTCCCAGATTAGAGTCCGCGCACTTAACCACTACACCAAACTACACCAAACCACTACACCACTTTTCTCCCCAGTGGTGACCCAACGTGGTTTACGTCCTTCTCTTCTCCTCCTTTTTATCCTCACAACAACCCTGTGAGGTAGGTCAGGCGGAGAGTGCGGGACTGGCCCAAGGTCACCCAGCCAGCTTCCATGGTGCCGGTTGCTGGAGGTATTTATTTATTTTCGTGCATTTTATCTTCACCCTTTAGTTTCACCCTTCATCAGCTTTACCATAGAACAGGGGTGGCCAAACTTGCTAAAGGTAAGAGCCACAGAGAAGAAACATCCGATGCCTGAGAGCCGCAAGACATAAACAAATATTGCACGCATGTTTTTATTGGAAAAGATGCAAATTTGCTTTTATTCACATTAACATTAAATATAAGACTGCCGGAAGTAAAAACAAAAGGGGTAAAAACGGATAATGATATTTAAAGAGACAAATGCTTTCTCCAAGCCGGCCCGGGGTGTGTGTGTGCTTTGAGAACGCATTTAAAGTGGCCTTCTTTCCCTGCTCCCCCCCAACCTCAAGCCTACCCCAGGGAGGGGAACACTGGCTGGGGAAGGGAAGACCAATCGGGGAAGCATGCCCTCCCCTTCGCTTCCCCAGCCGCCCTGCCGGGAGCCGCACAATACGTCTAAAAGAGCCACATGCGGCTCCAAGCCATAGTTTGGCCACCCCTGTCATAGAATGATAGAATTGGAGGGGACCTCCGGGGTCATCTAGTCCAACCCCCTGCACAATGCAGGAAATTCACAAATACCTCCCCCCCTCCACACCTCCAGTGACCCCTGCTCCATGCCCAGAAGATGGCAAAAAAAACAACAACAACCAGGATCGTCGGCCAAACTGTTCTGGAGAAAAATGGCTTCCTGACCTCAAAGTGGTGATCAGCCTTTCCCTGGGCGTGTGAGAAAGAGCTAAGCGCTGAGGCAACCCTTCCTGCCCTCCCTTCTCACAATCTGCCTAAGTTCACACAATCAGCATTGCTGTCCGATGGCCATCTAGCCTCTGTCTGAAAACGTCCAAAGAAGGAGAGAGCCCGCCACCTCCTGAGGAAGCCTGTTCCACTGAGGAACCCCTAAGACTGTCAGGACAACCCCGTCACAATAACCCCGTGAGGTAGACTAGGCCGAGAGAGTGACTGGCTCAAGGTCGCCCAGTGACCATTGCGGGTATTTATTTTAGTACATCCTATTTCCACCCTTCTTCATCTTTATCCTCAAAACAACATTGTGAGGCAAACTAGGCTGAGAGTCAGTGATCAGCCCAAGGCCACCCAGAAAACTCTGTGGCAGAGTCGGGATTTGAACCTGGGTCCCCAGCATCCTAGGCCCCCTAGGCACTGCCCTACACCAGGTCTCTAGCTAGTTGAGGTTGTTGTTGCTTTGAATGTGCTGCTGCATCATGATAATTAAAATGACGGTTTTGTAGGGCATTCTTTGTGACTTAATTACACCGTCTCAGTCCTCGCAACAAGCTATGGGGTGGATCCTTCTTACGCCCTCCACGTACCCTGACCGACAGCGCGTCTGGTCCCGCGGATTGGCCTCCTCCAGCCCTGCCACTTGGAATTCCACGGTGCCTTCATAGCTACGATTGCTCAGCACAGCCTTCGCGCCTGGAGGAAAGATTGGAGAACATCAGAAGAGCCCTGTTGGGTCAGACCACTGAGGGTCCATCTAGTCCAGCATCCTGCTTTACACAGGGGCCAGCCAGTTCCTCTGCGTGGCCAACAACAGGGCATACGGACCGAGGCCTTCCCTTGAGAAGGACATCAGAAGAGCCCTGCTGGATCAGACCAGTAAGGGTCCACTCAGTCCAGCATCCCGGCCCACACAGGGGCCAGCCAGGTCCTCTGGAGGGCCAACAACAGGGCACAGAGGCCAAAGCCTCCGTAAGTACGTCAGAAGAGCCCTGCTGGATCAGACCAGGGGTCTGTCTAGTCCAGCATCCTATCTCACACAGGGGCCAGCCAGGTCCTCTGGAGGGCCAACAACAGGGCACAGAGGCCAAAGCCTCCGTAAGTACGTCAGAAGAGCCCTGCTGGATCAGACCAGGGGTCTGTCTAGTCCAGCATCCTATCTCACACAGGGGCCAGCCAGGTCCTCTGGAGGGCCAACAACAGGGCACAGAGGCCAAAGCCTCCGTAAGTACGTCAGAAGAGCCCTGCTGGATCAGACCAGGGGTCTGTCTAGTCCAGCATCCTATCTCACACAGGGGCCAGCCAGGTCCTCTGGAGGGCCAACAACAGGGCACAGAGGCCAAAGCCTCCGTAAGTACGTCAGAAGAGCCCTGCTGGATCAGACCAGGGGTCTGTCTAGTCCAGCATCCTATCTCACACAGGGGCCAGCCAGGTCCTCTGGAGGGCCAACAACAGGGCAGAGAGGCTGAGGCCTTCCCCCGATGTTGCCTCTTGGCTCTGGGATTCAGAGGTTGACTGCCTCTGGCAACCCTATTCTGCAATTTGATTTTTGGAAGGAAAGAGGGGGGAGGAAGACAACACGTCAAAAGTGGGTTTGGTTTGCCCAATTGTTCTGAATTCGCCATTTGAGATCTCACAGGGTTTTGAGCTTTGATTTTCAAAGATCTGAAGGTAATGTGAGAATTTTTCTTAAAATATTTTTTGTGTTTGTGTGTGTATGTGTGTGTGTGTGCCTGCAAGTAATGGTTGACATCTGGCGACCCCTAGTGGTGCAAGGATGTTTCGGAGAGGTGGCTTTGGTATTACCTGCCTCTGCGTCCCAGCCCTGGTATTCCTTGGAGGCCGCCCTTCCAAGTACTCGCCAGGGTCGGCCCTGCTTAGCTTCCGAGATCTGATGAGATCAGGCTGGCCTGGGGTATCCAGCTCAGGGCAATATTTCTTTATTGACGTTATCTATAGTCCGCCTTTCTCACTTGGACTCAAGGCAGACGGCACTGAGTGAGTCGATACAATTGATGGACGGGACATCCAATAAGCAATGTGATAAGCTTAGGGTTGCAGGACCGACCAGAAGTCTAAAAACAGAACTGCAGCGAAGCCTGAATCTTAACATAAAATATTCAATGATGCAAAAGTTCCACAGTAGGATCCTAGTTTCAGCAAGCTATGCAGAGAAGTATAGACCGCAGCCCCTAAAATATTTATATCCCACCTTGACCCCAAAGGGTAGAAACCTATGGGGCTCCCTGTAGTCTTGGATACAAGGCATTTATGATACTCCGGCCCTTGCTGCTTTGGGTGATCGCAGAGATTGGTCCCTAAAGGTTGCACAGCACATAGCAATGCCCTTCCTAAACACGGCCATGCATGTTTTCAACCCAAGGGTTAGACGACGTGCCCAGATTAGAAGGCGAGAGGGGAGAGAAGCTACAGAAAAGCAACCTGCGGAATAACGAACAAATCTGTAGTCAAAACACACTAAGTACATGCAACAATAATTATATGGAAACCAAAGTCAATAATAATGCCGAACTCATATATATTATAATGGAATTATCAATGTTATAAAGAGCAATTATTAAAAAGTGGGTGGTAACAAAACTCAAACCCACAATAAGACACAGCACATCTCCAGAGCGGCAGACTTCCTTCATTAACAGAGCGAGCACACGAAAGCAAAGAATTGCTTATATAAATTTTACAAGTCCTTGAATCAGAGTCCAAACGTCTATATATTGTGGCTTGTCGAATGGGACGGATCTTTTTCTAGAAGCCACAATATATAGACGTTTGGACTTTGATTCAAGGACTTGTAAAATTTATATAAGCAATTCTTTGTTTTGTTAATGAAGGATGTCTGCTGCTCTGGACTCATTGTGCTATGACTCATTGTGGGTTTGAGTTCTGTCACCACCCACTTTTTGATAATTGCTCTTTATAACATTGATAACTCCATTATAATATACATGAGTTCGGCATTACTAATGACTTTGGTTGCTATATAATTATTGTTGCATGTGCTTAGCGTGTTTTGACTACAGATCTGTTCGTTATGCCATGGGTTAGAAGCAATGTGCCCTCTAAGCTGTGGAGTCTTGTGAGCCAAAATTCTACTTGGTGAGCTACTGGCATTAAAGTTGTGGGCAAGCTATTTGGCTGCTGCATAAATGGGTTTGCTCTGGAGCCCATCCCTCCTGAGCTAAGACAAAGATGTGTGAGCCGGAGGCTAGAAAACTGTGAGCTAGCTCACACTAACTCAGCTTAGAGGGGACAATGGTTAGAAGGCAGACAGGTCCACCCTGAAGTCCGCCACAGTCTTCTGGGCCAAGGTGGATGCCCCTCTCAAGACAGGCACGGGGGATTTTGGCCAGCTAGCCCACATCTTTATTCCACACCCTGCCCCAGCTGAGCATCCCAGCTCCTTTAACGTTGTTTATCCCAACGGTTTCCTCCTCCCCCCACCCCCAGCATACCTGCATAGGTGTAGCGCACCGGCCCCATCCAACGGTGCTTTTCGCTGGCGCTCACCACGTCGCCGTAAAATCCGTAGCCCGCCAGAGAGACGGAGTAGCGGAGCAGCTTCCCATTGTGGCGAATGCTGCAGACGTCCAGGGGCTGGCTGTCCCCTGGGAAGAAGAAGATGAGATTGGATTTATACCCTGCCCTTCACTACCCAAAGGAGTCTCAGAGCGGCTTACTAACTCCTTTCCCTCCCCCTCCCCACAACAGACACCCTGTGAGGGAAAAGAAGAAGAGGAGATGGGATTTATACCCCGCCCTTCACTACCCGAAGGAGTCTCAGAGCGGCTTACAAACTCCTCTCCCTTCCCCTCCCCACGACAGACACCCTGGGAGGCAGGTGGGGCTGAGAGAGCTCTGGCAGAATCTGCTCTTTTTTCAAGAAGAGCTCTTATCAGAACTACGGCTTGCCCAAGGTCATCCAGCAGGTGCAAGTGGAGGAGTGGGGAATCAAACCCGGTTCTCCCGGATTAGAGTCCACGCGTTTAACCACTACACCAAACTGGCTCTTCCAAACTGGAAGAGGGAGGAGAGTCGCTCAGGAGGCAAAGACCAAGAAGAGAGCTGCCCAAATGCAGGGCCATTCTCTCCCCCGCAACCCTTTCTGCCAGGGGAAAAGCAAACAGGACTTCAGCATAAAAGGAGACTCTATAGTCCCCTTCTTCTGGGAGAATGGGAGCACAGCAGAAGCTTTCTGTCTCTTCCAACCAGCATTGCCAGGTCCTACCTCCGATCCAGCGGGGGGCTCCCGGTCAGTGTTCCCTCTAGGCTGAGTTAGTGTGAGCTAGCTCACAGTTTTTTAGCCTCCGGCTCACAGGTTTTTTTGTCCTCGCTCAGGAAGGAGGGCTGCAGAGCAAACTCATTTATGCAGTAGCCAAATTGCTCGCTCACAATTTGAATGCCCAGTGGCTCACCAAGTAGGATTTTTGCTCACAAGACTCCGCAGCTTAGAGGGAGCACTGCTCCCTGGTCCTTGTCGGGATCTTCCGCCGTGCGTACAAAGCGCATGCGCTGTGATTACATCGCCTGGAAGTGAACGTCATCACATTGCAGACATCGGGGGGGGGGGACACTAGCTTTTGGGCAAAACTCTATGACTTTTTGCCCTCAAAACCATAGAGTTTGCCCAAAAAGTAGAGCTTCATCCCCCAGCATCAGCAATGCAATGATTTCACTTCCAAGTGACATAGTTGCACTGGCGATGCCAGTGTGGGAGGGGGCTGTTCTGAGTGGGGTTTCCCCCTCTACCCAGCTGGCCAGCAGCAGATTGCCCCCCCAAATGGGGGTAACCCCCACCAGTGTTCCCTCTAAGCTGAGTTAGTGTGAGCTAGCTCACAGTTTTTAAGCCTCTGGCTCACACATTTTTATCTCAGCTCAGGAAAGACGGCTCCAAAGCAAACGTGTGGACGCCTTGAGCCCTCAAGATCTGGATCCCCAGAATGCCCCTGGAGACAGGGCCGGTTCCAGGTCTGGGGAGATCCCGGTCAGAGAGCGCCTGGGGGACCTCCTCTCCTCCTCTAACCGCAAGCAGGACCCCCCCCATCCCTTCCTTCCAGCCCACCTAAATCTCTAAATTTAGGGGAGGGGCTGTGGCTCAGTGGCAGAGCCTCCACTTGGCATGCAGAAGGTCCCAGGTTCAATCCCCGGCATCTCCTGTCAAAAGGACCAGGCAGGAGGTGATGAGAAAGACCTTGACCTGAGACCCTGGCTCAGTGGCAGAGCCTCTGCTTGGCATGCAGAAGGTCCCAGTTTCAATCCCCAGCACCTCCAGTTGAAAGGACCAGGCAGGAGGTGATGAGAAAGACCTCTTGACCTGAGACCCTGGCTCAGGGGCAGAGCCTCTGCTTGGCATGCAGACAGTCCCAGGTTCAATCCCCGGCATCTCCAGTCAAAAGGACCAGGCAGGAGGGGATGAGAAAGACCTGGACCTGAGACCCTGGCTCAGTGGCAGAGCCTCTGCTTGGCATGCAGAAGGTCCCAGGTTCAATCCCCGGCATCTCCAGTTGAAAGGACCAGGCAGGAGGTGATGGGAAAGACCTTGACCTGAGACCCTGGAGTAGACAATACTGACCTTGATGGACCAAGGATCTGATTCAGTAGAAGGCAGCTTCATGTACGTTCACCCCACCTGCCTCTGTGCCCTTCTCACTGACTATGTGCTTTGAACATATCTAGTTGCCTTACACTGAATCAGACCCTCTTGGTCCCTCAAGTTCAGTCTTGTCTACTCAGACTGGCAGCTGCTCTCCAGGGTCTCAGGCAGAGGCCTTTCACATCATCTACTAAGTGGTCCTTTTTTAACAGGAGATGCCAGGGATGGAACCTGGGGACTTCTGCATGCCCAGCAGAGGCTCTTCTTCCACTGAGACACAGCCCCTCCGTGAATGGTCTGTAGAAGAGTCGCCCTGACCTGGATAGCCCAGGCTAGCCCGATCTCATTAGATCTCGGAAGCTAAGCAGGGATTTGGACGGGCGACCTCCAAGGAATACCAGGGGCATTATGCAGAGGTAGGCAAGCACGCACCTCTCTGAAATGTCTCTTGCCTTAAAAACAAGTCTAGCTCGCCACATAGTGGAGTGTAATGCTAAAAGAGCAAGACCTTCTGGCTGCCAGACAATAGGATCTCCTGGCTACACTACACGCACTGCCATATGATAATTATTAATTACTGTGGAAGGGTCTGTCTGGAAGAGCTGACACTGCTACCCCACTGGAAAAGAGATATGCCCTAAACATCTGTCGCTTTAGTCAGGGTTGTTGTTGTTTTTAATTAAAGGCAAAGAAAACGTATTGCTTCCTGTAATGTGCGGTACCATTTTAACCTGACTTGCTTCTTCTTTGACATCAGACACTTTTTGTTTCCCATTTTGAGTCAGTTTGGTGTAGTGGTTAAGTGCGAGGACTCGAATCCGGGAGAAACAGGTTTGATTCCCCACTCCTCCACTTGCAGCTGCTGGATGACCTCGGGCAAGCCGTAGTTCTGTCAGAGCTGTTCTTGAAAAAGAACCATTTCAGCCAAGAGCTCTTTCAGCCCCACCTCCCTCACAGGGTGTCTGTTGTGGGGAGGGGGCTTCTTCTCAGCTTCGTCCTTCTCCCCAGATTCTCCCTGATGGTACTGGGTGCGTATTTTGCACCACCACAGTTCCTACCAGGAGTGCTGCAGTTATAAAGCACCTGTGCCGTGGCAGTGTATGGTGGTCGGGGGGCTCTGTGACAGCGAGCCCCGCCAGAAACCCCAGGGCCTGACCGCTGCCCCACCTGAAGGTCTGCTGAGCCTGTCCCTGCCTGGAGGCACAAGAAAAAGCCAAAGGGTACCTATAATGATGTGCAGGGCAGAGGTGACGGGATCGTTGATTCCCACTGTCGCGAAGCAGACGCAGTCCGTAGAGCCTGGGGTAGGAATGTCAGACAAGGAGGGTTGTCAGCTCTGGGCTGGGAAATCTCCGGAGATTTAGAATCAGAGTCGGGAGGGACCTCCAGGGTCATCTAGTCCAACCCCCTGCACAATGCAGGGAATTCACAAATACCTTCCCCCTCCACACACACCCAGTGACCCCTGCTCCATGCCCAGAAGATGGCAAAAGACCTCCAGGATCCCCGGCCAAACTGGCCTGGAGAACAATGGCTTCCTGACCCCAAAGTGGTGATCGGCATTTCCCTGGGCGTGTTAAGAAAGGGCCACGAGAATTAAGCACTGAGGCAGCCTTTCCTGCCTTCCCTCTCATGATCTGCCTCAGTTCACAGAACTTGCAAAGTGGAGGCTGGGGAGGGACCTCAGCTGGTGTTATAATGCCATAGAGGCTGCCTTCCAAAGTAGCCACTTTCTCTTGGGCAGGGGTGTCAAACATGTGGCCCGGGGGCCGGATGAGGCCCCCGGAGGGCTTCTGTCAGGCCCGTGGTGGAACTGGCTGTCTTCTGCTGCTGCTGCATCATCATAGGTCTGCAGCTTACAGATACACACTTGAACAGCATACTCAAGATTGCAACAGGATAGAGGGGCAACAGACCCAACATTTCAAAAGATGTGGAAGAAACTGTATGATTGGTACGATATAAATGCTTATCTTAAAGTAATGAAATTTTTGGTATTATTAATCTTTTTTAGTTAAATAGAAACTATGGTAAAAAGATAAGAGTATACAGAAACTTAAGCAAACTTATAGAAATTCTTTAAATATGGTAGTAGAGTTATAAGAAAATATACTGATCTCTTTGTATGTTTTATGTGTGTAAGTGGATGTTTGTTATGTTGTATGTTTGTTTGTTGGTGTATAAAATGAAAAATAATAAAAGTGTCCCTTATGGGTACTCAAAAAAAAAAAGATTGCAACAGGACAGACATTTTGATGCGATAATTCAGAGCAAGAGGTGTCCGTTATCAGACACTGTTAAACAAACAAAATATTGCAAGAGTGCTGATGTTTTAAGCATGTTTTTATTGTAAGTAAAAAAAAAAACCCTTTGTGTTTGTGTCCTTTATAAGGTTTCTGTCTCCGCTACCTGGCCTTACCTCTTATAACACACATGGCCCCGGCCCAACAAGGTCTCATTGATGTCAGATCTGGCCCTCATAACAAATGAGTTTGACACCCCTGCTCTAGAGGAACTGAGCTCTGTGGTCTGGAGGCCAGTAATTCCGGGAGATCAGAAGGCCCCACTTGGAGGTTGGCAGCCATAAAGACAAGGTGCTCCAGAGTCTCCCCCCCCGCCCAAGAAAGCACTGAAGCAGCAGAACAAAGTTTGAGAGATCTGAAGAAGTGTGCATGCACATGGCTATACCTTGAATAAAACTTCGTTGGTCCTAAAGGTGCCACTGGACTCAAGCTTTGTTCAAATATTTGACAACAAACAAGGTCAACAGAATAACAAGCAAAAGGTGGGTGTGGCTGGATGACCACACTTCTGGCAACATGGGGGTGCGGCCTAATGTGCTAATGAGCTGTGCTGTCATGGGGTGTGGCCTAATATGCTAGTGAGTTTCTGCTGTTGGGTGTGGCCTGTTATGCTAATGATTTCCTGCTGGGCTTTTCCTACAAAAAGAGCCCTGACAGTTATTATTTATCAAGTAGCAGAAAAGAGCAAGAGTCCAGGAGCACCTGGAAGACTAAGAAAACTGGTGGGAAGGTAGGAGCTTTCGTGAGTCGCTGCTCACTTCTTCAGATACCAAAGAGCAAGAGTCCAGGAGCACCTGAAAGGCTAACAGAATTGATGGCAGCGGAGGAGCTTTCGTGAGCCACGGCTCGCTTCTTCAGGCACCAAAGGGCAAGAGTCCAGGAGCACCTGAAAGACTAGCAACATTTGCGGCAGGGGAGGAGCGTTTGAGAGTCACGGCTCACAAAATATCTGAAGATCTCTGCAGAAGTGAGCCGTGACTCACGAAAGCGCCTCCCCTGCCACCACTTTTGTTAGTCTTCAAAGCGCTACTGAGCTCTCGCTCTTTTCTGCTGCTACAGACAGACCGACACGGCTGCCCACCTTGATCTATTTAACAAGTAGGCACTGAACAAAAAGTAACCCATTTTAAATCAATCTCGTCAAGAGCTTGGAAGCTAAGTAGAGTCGTACTCAGATGGGAGGCCACCAAGGAAGACTGGGACTGCTGTGCAGGGGCAGGCCATGGCCAACCGCCTCGGGTCCTCTCTTGCCTTGACCTGGGTGAGATCCAGGATAGCCCAATCTCATCAGACCACGGAAACCAGGGGTCATTTCCTGTGGGAGCGCACAGGAGCGGAGCTCCGGCAACAAAGAGCCCAGGGGGCAGGCACATGCAACAAGCCCCGCCCCCTGCTCCCAGCAGCCCTCAGTCAGAGCAAGAAGCAGCCAGGTAAGTTGCAGAAGCCCCCCCCCCCCATAGCTAGCAATCCAAAACAGTCCAGTGGCACCTTTCAGACCAAGTTTTATTCAGGTATGAGCTCTCCTCTGCGAGGACAGATCTGCACGTCCCCCCCCCCAAACAGCTGGC